TGTTGTTTGGCGGGTCCGGGCTGGGGATTCGAACCCACCACCTTAGGTGTACGTGGCTGGCGCCTTAGCCAGTTGAGCTATAGGCGCTGAGCCGATGTAATGGTTTTTTAAAAAGGAATCTCTTGGCTTGGCGCCTATGGCTCAAGTAAAAACACTGTGGTGTGTACCTGTAGTATCAGCAGAGGGAGGAGGACATTTTGAACTGTTTTGAGCCCAGAAGTTCAAAGTTAGAGTTTGCTATGATGACATCATTGCACTCCAGCCCAGGAAACAGATTGAGACTCCTTCTCCAAAAAATTAAATAAATTGGGAGATGCCTATGGCTCAAAGGAGTAGGGCACCAGCCCCATATACTGGAGGCGGTGGGTTCAAACCTGGCCCTGGCCCAAAAATCCTGCCCCCAAAAAATTAAATAAATAAAATAAAATGGTACTAATACAAGTCTCTGCTGTGAGCGCCCTGTGAGGATTACCTTAGATAATGCACGTAGAATACTTTGTACATTATCTGGCACACATGATTATCTTTCAGTAAGTTGGAGTAGAAGGCTTATTTGAGATTTTTTTTCTTTCTAAAAAAAATTTGAGAATTTCCAGCATTTGCTCTAAAAGATAAAAATGAATTACCTTTTAATCTTAAATACTGCTGCAGTGGCATCAGCTGCTTTAGCAATGAGGTTAAAATATTGCTGTGTGGCTTTTAAAAAGAATGTGGGGCAAGGCACAGTGACTCATGCCTGTAGTCCTAACACTTTAGGAGGCTAAGGCAAGAGGATCACTTCAGACTAGGAGTTCAAGACCAGCCCTAGCAATAGTGAGACCTAGTCTCAGAAAAAATAGAAAAATTTGGGCGGCACCTGTGGCTCAGTGAGTTGGGTGCCAGCCCCATACACTGAGGGTGGTGGGTTTGAACCCGGCCCTGGCCAAACTACAACAAAAAATAGCCACACAACACTGCTTAGAGACAAACACAGGTCTGGGTGGGTCAGGCACCTGTAGTCCCAGCTACTTGGGAGACTGAGGCAAGAGAATCACCTAAGCTCAAAAGCTGGAGGTTGCTGTGAGCTGTGATGCCACAGCACTCTACCAAGGGCAACAAAGTAAAACTCTGTCTCCAAAAAAAAAAAAAAAGGAAAATTTAGCCAAGCATGGTGCTACATGCCTGTAGTCCTAGCTACTCAGGAGGCTGAGGCAGGAGGATCTTTTGAGTCCAGGAGTATGATGACACCACTGCACTCTAGTCTGGGGAACAGAGAGAAATCACATCTCAAATAAACAAACAAAAAAGCATGTGGGACTAACTTCTGATTCGTGTAGCAACAAGATTTAAGCTGATATACTCAGATAAAATGATCATCCTCTCCCCATTGTTGATGTTGAGGTCAACCTCCCTTGTACTGTGCTCTTTCTGCCTTCCTTTATCCCTCCCAGATGAGTTGAAGGAACTGGGGATCCAGTGCTTTTACCATAACTCTCATTTAGCAGCTTGGGCCAACGTGGTATTCCTCTGCTGCCTGCCATCTCAGCTGCCCAATATCTGCTTAGAAATTCAAACCAAACTTCAGAAGACCTGCATCGTGTACAGCTTTGTAGCCGCCATCCCAATATCCAGGTATCTTGTTAGGGTAAGAACAGAACTAGCCTAACTTCTGTCTACACATCTTTAACTTCTGCCTCCTACCCCCAACTTAGCCCCTACATCCTGGGGTTGGTTATTCCCAGTCATAAGGAGGAAGTAGCTTTATCTGTAGAAGGATCCAGTCAACCTTTCCTTTCTAATTGTATCTTCCTTACTTACTTGTGAGTTGGACATTTTCCTTGCTGTACAAATATTTAGATCTGCAGTGGAATGTTGTCCCCTACTACTTGAACGCTGAATAGTATTCTCCTTGTGCTTCAATGAGAAGGAAAACCGCTAGTGAACAACATGAAGGGTTACTATAAGCAATATGTCAAATATTATGTCTGCACCCCCAGTATCTAGCCCTATGCCTAACACATGACTACATTCAATAAGTAAGGATTTGTTAGGTGGATGGAACAAGCCAACTAATTAGTGCCTGCAGCACAGATCCAGACCTGCATTTGTCTCTAACCAGTGCTGTGAAGGGGAGTCTGTTGCTGGAATCTGATGTGAACACAGTACATTATGTAATCTTTACTCTAGTCCTAGCACTGGACTCCCTGTCTTGGTGGCTTTATTTCCAGGTTGAAACTACTACTGAACCACACCAGTATCCTGCGACCTCAATATGAGTGTGCTCAAGACTTTGTCAACGTCTGGGGGACCAATACAGAAATCATAGCTGCTCTCCAAGATCCTGTGATTCTTCGGGCTACCTGCCCCTACAGTCCTGCTGGTAATGGCTCAGCATATTTCCAGCATTCCTTTGAAAATTACCTTGCCTGGCTCAGCGCCTGTGGCTCAAGCGGCTAAGGCGCCAGCCACATACACCTAAGGTGCTGGGTTCGAGTCCAGCACCTGCCCACCAAACAACAATGATGGCTGCAACCAAAAAAAAAAA